TCAGTGCTGTTTTGCTGATTTTCTTCACCTTATTAAACAAGATCAAGTTCTTGAAAGTTGATAGATAATGGCTCACTTCCTATGATGTGATGTTTCCAATGGTAACAGTTACATTTTGTAGCAGAATACTTTTCTGTCGATTTCTTTTCCTATCTTAAAAAAAAGCAATCATTTGCAAGCACTGCATCAACATCAATTTAGTAAAGGAAGCTCAAGCTTTATTGAAACTGCTTGCATACAGGATATATTGCACCATAACCAAACAAATGTCAAAATAAATACCAATCTGTTGTCGCCAATATGTATGAAGAATATTGCCCAAGAGTTGTTACATTATAAACTCATTCTACCTTGGTTAATTACCCACCATATTTTAAACCAAACAGTTTACTGATGATGTATGCAAGGTACCAGTTTCTGTTTTCAGATACTGTGCATTCCCAGGGTAATTAACTAGAAATCAACAGTAATTTGGGGGGATGCTTTTAAAAGACTTTTAAATACTCTTGAAGCCATGTGCAGTTTGTTGCCATTTTTATATGCTTACTTGCAAGCAAGGAAAAAGTAAGTGTAAGACAAAAGTTCGGAGACATAAACACTAAATGCACCAGAAGCAGAACTTTGGTTTGTATGGCTCTGTACAGGTTCAGTGGTACCCCAACTTGGAGTTGGTTGGTTGGTTTGGTTTTTTTGAAGAAAAATGCCAGCTGTACTTTTCAAATGCAAATATGCTTCTATCAACCCACCCACTAAAAACACTTTGCTGGCTTCTCCTTGTTCTTACAAAGACCGAACGCCTTCCTGGTCTGGTCCCTAGTCTCCCCCATGACACTTTCCTTTCTGTGACCTGCACAGCAGTCCCGGTTTCTTTGGTCCACCTGCCTGCCCCACTCCCTCCAGGCACAGGACCTTCACAGGGGCTCTTCCTGGTGCTTGGAGTCGTCTCTCTTGCCCACCTCACTGCTTCAATCTGCTAATGTCTATTTGTCATATCTCCAAGACGGCTGGTCTAGATCTGCCCTCTTGGCCGCAGATGCTCGGAGAGCCGACCTTCGGACGCTTCACGGTGCAGTCATGCCGTCAGTGGCATCCTGTCCCCTGGGGCCTAAGCTGTAGGAAAGCAGAGAGTGCGTCTGCCTTTCTGCCCGTTGTGACTGCTTGGCACCTGGTAGACACACACAAAGCACAGGCAGAACAGAAGCGAGCAGGGCAAGAGTTCACAAATAATGTCTCCCTTTTCTAAGAAAATGTCAGTGGTTTTGGATTCATCTTAGCCACGTATATTATTGTGGATGAGCATGTGCGCAGTTGTCTCTTTGGCAAACATAGCTGTGGAGCTCACATACATTGAATGGAAGCCAGCCAAGGTAGGAGAGTGGCAGCTGGAATCCAGCCCTTGGCGCTGCACAGGTCTGCACCCTGAGGGGGGCTGGCACTTGATGATAGTAATTTTGTCCTGGAGCTGGAGCCCTCCAGATACCGCACATCCACAGGGCTTGCTCCTTTTTCCAGTTTTCATGAAGGTGAGCTGATGTACAGTCTCTGGGGTCAGTATGAGATTTGTCTCTCTTCTGTGGCCTCCCAGTGGCTGTCTTTATGCCAGATGGTACCTTGACAAGTGCTGGTGCCGACTCCGGGGGGAGCCAGATGAGAGGGTCGGAGAGGTGCAGCGTAGCAGCCTCGCTTTCACACCCAGATGGACACTGATTCCACAGCACCAGGACCTAGACTGATACCCAGCAGGCTGGGGACGCGGAGCACACCTGCACGTGCTGTGACATGCCCAGCAGACAGGTCCTCGGGTCTGACTTCAGGTTCAGAATGACTCGATGCCATCACTGTCATGCACTTTCCTGAATCGTGAAAATAGCCTTGACGAGTCCCACTGAGCCACTGAGCCACATTGCTCCTTCCTTCTGTGCTGGGAGGGACCGTCCTTGCAGGAGCAAAGCTGTTGCCCGCAGTTTTACGTGCCATTTCTCATGTACCCGTGCTGAAGTGCTTGGGGAAGTAGTGGATTGATGTCTGCAAGTTTCTTTGCCTGCATCCAAAAATAAGTAAATAAATACGGATGGACCAAGAGATGAAGAGTTGGGTGGCTGGGTGATGGAGTGATGCAGCCAAATGTTAATTGTAAGATCTGGGAGATGGTGCTCACTGCACAATTATTTCACTTTTCAGTATGTTCCAAAATTTTCGTGAGATGTTGAAGGAAACTTCATTCAACACTTATTAAAACTGTATTATATCTATGAAAGCATTCATCTCTTTGTATCAAAGGAGCCTAGGCACCAGGGAGGCAGTGATGAACAGGAAGGCAAGGTCTCTAGGGGAACGGTGTGGCCTCCCTGAGGGAAGTGCGTCAGCAGGGGAAGTACAACACCACAGCGCGTGCAGTGAGAGTGTTCTGGGAGTACCAAGTCCCCACCACATTGCGTCATGCATCACACTGAGTGTGGTGGTGGCGGTCAGGGAGATCTTTCTGGAAGAGAGGCCCCCAGAACTCAGCCCTGAATGGCAGTGGGACAGAAGTTAGTTCAGGTAGTGGGGAGGGAAGACATCCCACGAACAAACCTGGTGGTGTTTGCGGGAGCGGAGAATGGGCCGGGCTGGGTCGGTTTCAGGGAGCTGGAGTGTGCGTGTTGACCCCCTGGCCTCGGTCCTGCGGAGGACTTGGGGTGGCGGAAGGGAAGAAGGGGAGCGACAGGGTCAGACGAGCTCGTAGCTACCTAGATCACCACGGTGGCCAGCGTGAGAAGGCCGCCGAGGCATCGAAGCTGGAGGCCGGTAGGTGCCGGCGTTGGTGTTCCCGCCAGGACATGGCCTGAAGGGCCCCTGGGTGTTAGGGCTGCAGCTGAGCGAACCGGTTTGAGGAACATTTAGATGTGAAACTGGGGAGTTGGAGACGGGGGAAGGAAAGAACAGGGCAGCACGCTGCTTGCTGTACAAGAGGCTGTTGGGGGGGGGTAAAGGGTGTAATGTTAAACATTTTGAATTTGAAGTACCTCTAAAGCACCCAAGTGGGTGCTGCCCAACTGGCAGCCAGAAAAATAAAAGTGAAACTTAGGAAAGCAGTGGAAATCCCGATTTTGAACTGAAACAGTGAAGTTTGAATCCGCTGTTGTGATGGAAAAGGGAGAGTAGGCAGAGCAGCACATGAAAGGTGTGGGTTTTCCGTGCTGGGTGCCGTGCCTGGCACTCCGGACGCATCTGATGGAGGGAAGAGCCAATAAAAGTGGGCAGGACCCTGGAGACGCACTTTCCAGGACCGGTGAGGAAGGGAAGCTGATGAGGAAGCTGGGAGCCATCAAAAGGCAGAGATGATTAGAGGGCCTGTTCAGGGAGTCACCAGGGAGGCAGAGGGGTTCCAAACAGAGGAGGACGAAAACCTGTTCTTGGGTTCAACAAGGAGGAGGTGACTGGTGACCAGGGCGCCGCGCGGAGTGGGGTGGGTGGTGGGCTGGGGGGGGGGGGCGGCGGAGAGCCTGAGGACTGCCCGGGGTGGGGGTGGGGGGGGCAGCAGAGGCCCTTTAGGGAAGTGTGCCCAAGTGCTCTCGGCGGACTGCAACGGCCTGGAAGGCTTTGACTTGACTTTCCATCACACTCAGTTTCTCAAAGGAAGGCAAAGGGAGAGCTAGCACACCCACTTACCGCTGTAACTCATTATCAAGTCATAATTCATAAGTATAAAGCTGTCTTTCAGTTATGGTCAACCAGACATTTATATGGTGCCTGTTATATTTTTAGTCACTGGGCTAAAACTGAGCAGAAGGTACAAGTAGAGAGAGAGGGGGGGTAATGACTGGACCATGAGGAACCTGCAGGGCGGGTACACCAGGCCCAACCACCAACAGGCTGGTCTTGAAAACAGACAGACACGTGCTCAGAGACTGGCTCTACGGTCAGGCTGGTTGTTGAGGAAATAGGTGCGCATGCAGGGCTGGGAGGCCCAGGGGGACCGAGGCTGATGGCCTTGGTGCTCTGGAAGAAGGAGAGTGACCTTCCCCCAAAAAGGACGTTGAGGAGAGGCAAGTGTTGCCCAGGGAGCCTCAGTGAAGTGGGGAAGGTCCGGGCAGTCATTAAGGGGCGGGACTAGGGCAGGGACCGACAAATGAAAGTAGGTGGCAGCACGCACCTCTGGCCTCATCCACTGCAAGCTCCCTGAGGGCGGTGCAGTCCTTCTGGTCCCTGTGGGCACTGACTCAATGGATGAAGACCCAAAGCCATTTTGAAAGCTACTCCATGTTTTCACTCATTTTGAAAAATATGCTCTTGCTTCACAATATTTAATAAATCTAGGCAAAAGTGAAATTTAAAGCCCTTTAGGAGTTTTCACAAATGTATGCGATTAACCTACAAAATACATAGTGGCTCTGACTTAAAAATCAGAATTCTCAAGCAAAGGTGTGACACAAGGGTTCGTAGACCAAAGTCAGGAGGAGACCCTATCCACTCAGTTCACCAAGATGTATCACTCAAGGACACACTTGCAAAAGTCCTGATAGCCCAAGTCCTACTCTCCAATGGCATGGCAGGATTCTCCTCCTAGCTAGTTTCCTATTGGCCCTGAGATGTGGGCGGGGCCGTCCATTCCTGCTGCAGCCACTAGCTCCACCCCCATTTCATGCAAATGAGGTCAAAACTCTGGTGAGCCCGTGATTGGCCACGTGGTTGATGACACAATTGCCCCACCCCTTCAATGACGTCATTGCCCACTCAAACTCTCACGAGAGTTTGCACAGATGATGGTGAGGGGTAGCAGGCCAGTCCAGGAGGGCAGGAGGGTGGTCAGGGTAGGGGGCTCTTGCAGGACATCCCCACTCCCACCCCAGAACCTCCAGTCCAGGTTTAGGCAGGGGCCCCAAGGGGTCTGTGGGGCCCGGCCCAGGGGGTCCCATGCACCCTCTCTTCCCATTGGCTGGTTGCACTGGCATGCAAATAAGGATGCGCGTCACTTCCGGAGGCAAATCGAGCGCCATTTTCTCTTTCTGGCAGAGCTAGGAGGAGGGGACAGGGTCGCGCGAGGGTGGGAGCGCGCCGAGGCGGGGGTCCCGCCGCGCGGGGCGGAGGCGGGCGTGGGCCCCGGCGGGGCGAGGCGAGAGGCGGCGGGGGACGCGGTGGCGCTTCAAGCGCCCAGCGGTAGGTACGACCCCGGCCCGGCCCCGCGACGACGCCCCCGACCCGGCCGGGCCCGCGAAGTCCGGGCGGCGGCCCCGCCCCGCCCCGCCCACACCCGCGGCCGCCTCACGAATCCCGAGGCGTTCACCAGGCGCGGGTTCGCGGCCCGAACGGTGCCGGTCGTTCCTCCTCGTCACGTGCAGCCGGGTGGGCGCCGTGGGGCGGGGCCGTGGAGGGGGAGGGTCCGGGACCGGGGCGCAGTGGCGGGCGGCGGGGGAGTGGGGGTGGCAGAGAAGGGACGGAGCGGGGAAGAGGGGGCGCGGGTCGGGGGAGGGCGGCTCGATTCTTCCCCAGCCTGTCCCGGGAGCAGCCTGGGGTGGCGGCGGACGTGGGCCGCGGAGATACGGTCGCACCTTCGTCGGCCCCGCGGCGTTTTCCCCCAGAAGGAGCGGACCGTCCAAGCAACGCTGACGGCAGATCCTATTCCTCTGGCCTTGAGCGTTTCCTGTGCATATTGATAATTTAATAGGCAGGTGCTAACATTAAAATTTTAGCTTTTCGTGTGCTCGTGCTGGTTGCGTTGACGTAGATTGTTTGCCAAATTTCTGCTAACATTTGGCTTTGGAATGTCAGAAATTCTAACTGCCAGATGAGATTGGGCGCAGTTGCAGAATGGCCAATGACGAAATATTTAAAGTATTTTCTTGGCGTCCGAAGGAGAGACTTGCCTGGACGCTGTTAAAATTATGGCGAGGGTACGCCGGTTTCGTCCGTCGGGCTCGGGGTCCGGGAGGCGCTGGTGGGGGTGACCGCACGTAAAAGCCGGAGGGTCGTGAAGGCGGCGCGTTCATCTGCGGTCGGAGTCGCGCGGCGGGAGGGACTCGGCGCTGCTGCCGGAGGGTGGGGACGAGGTAGAGGGCACCGTGCGCGTCCGAGGCCGGAGTTGGGGCTGCAGTGATGACGGCTTGTGGGGGGCGTGCCCAGTCTCTAGCCGCAGAGGTCCTGGGGTGCCTCTTGAACTTGGACCCGGGTTTGCTAGGCGGTTGGTGGGTTTATGGTGGTGGCCCCTGTGCAGGAGCAGGTCCCCAGCATTTTGTGTTCCGTCCACTCTGCTGTCACACACCGGTTAAGGCAGCGTGTTTTGGAGGAGGACTTGCACGAAGGCCGATCACTTGGTGAAGGCCAACCAAGACCTTCTGAGTCGTGCTTCCGTGTATGGCCCAAATAACAGGTGTTTTTTGAAGTTTTTAATTTTAAGCCCCGTATTCCAATGCTTGGGACATTTCATTTAGATTTTTGGAATTAGACCCGTAGAGACTCAATGTGCATGTTCTAAGCGCTTTCCGTGTATGAACTCATTGATCTTCACAACTGCTCCCTGGAGTAGTAGCTTGCCTGTCCCAGTGCCCCAGGCAGCTGAGGCCTGGGGTTAAGTGAATTGCCACAGATTGCAGAGCTAAGGCCCTGGGGAGCGGATCTGCACCCAGGCAGTGTGGCACCGGAACCCTTGCTGGTGCCGTCACGGTGCTGTGGTGCCTCTCAGGTGAAATTCTTTTAGAAGTGAGATTTCAGAGAAACTCTCAGGAGGTTCTGTGGCTTAAAAGGTGTTTATTATCTGATTGACTTTATGTTTTAGAGCAGGGGTGTCAAACTCATGTTCACCAGGGGCCACATCAGCCTCTCGGTGCCTTCGCAGGGCCTTAGTAATTCTAGGACTGTATAAATGTACCTACTCCGTAATCAGGGACAAGGAGCTCAGCGCTGCCATTGGGTAGAATCAAAGTGCTGGGCTGGATAAAACAATGTGGAGGACCAGATTCGGCCTGCGGGCCTTGTGTTTGCCACCTGTATTTTAGAGGGTATTTTTTCCATAATGGAATATTCTTAAATGGTCCTGATACTAGGGGAAAAAAAGGGGGGAACCATTTAAGTGCCCCTTTGGGAAATAGCATTTGCTTGTACCCATCAGTGGACTTTTTGGTAACTCCAGGTCTGTCCGGCACTAAGAAAGTAAAGGTAGTTTGCTGTGAACTGAGCCTGAAAGATCAGGGCAGCTGCTGTGGCCTGCCGATTCCTGACGTGCCCCATTCACCAACGCACAGATCTAACCGAGTGCTAAGGACGTGTGGAGAGCAGTGTCGTTGGAAGATCCAGAAGTGCAAAAACATTGAGCAGTTTCTTCCCTGGTTAATCCACTGGGCATGTTGTGTAGAATCCTGCATCTTAGACTAGATAAATTATGGTATTTTAGAATGGAAAGATCCTGGTAAAACTGAGCTGCTTTTCCCCAAAATGACAACATTAGACCTGGGCTCCTGAAAGGTCATGAAGCTTATAATTTACCTGTTTTGTTTTTTGTTATTCTTAAACAGTTAGCAAACTGCTAAAAAGGGGATCAGTGTGCTTGGTTTGGGGGGAACCACAGTAACAATGATGAGGCAATGGGGGCATGTACAGTTTGAGAATAAAAATGTCCTGTTCTCCAAATTTAAGAGAGAAGATTGACAGTTCCTTGACCTTGCTCCTGACCTTGAACATCAGGTGACTGTGGAGCCTGTTTGAAACTTGCCCAATCACAGCCTCTTCACAGTCTCCTCTTCCTGAGCCAGCCATTCTGCTGCAGCCTCCAGGCACCAGCCTATGAAATCAGCCCATCCCCAAACTGCTACTGGGCAGTCCACCAATCCCTGTTCTTTGTGTTTCTCAAAACATGTAATAGGATCAAGTGCTAGGTCGGGCCAGAGTTCTGTGCAAGCAATAAACTTGGCCTCCTTGGGATAGAGAGGACAGTGGAACTTCAAGGCGGAAATGAAAACAAAGCTAACTGAGTGGAAAGCATCTAACAGGTGGTTTTGTGGAGGCCTCGCTCTGCGAAGAAGGCAGTTTGGGCTGGAAAGTGGCGTTGTATGTAGTTTTTTAAGAAAGCCGTCATGAGGTTCTTGACAGTTCTCTGTCAGTTGATGCTCTTGAAGACTAGAACCCAATCCAATGTATTTTACTTTTGATAACTTTCTTTTACCAAGGTCTATAATACTAAATGGTCTTTTCCGAGGCTGTCCAACATTTTGGCTTCTCTGCACCACACCGGAAGAAGAAGAGTTGTCTTGGGCCACACATTAAATACACAAACACTAATGAAAACTGATGAACAAAAAAAAAGGTTTTAAGTAAATTTACAGTTTTGTGTTAGTCCACATTCATAGGCATCATTGGCTGCAGGTTGGACACCCCTGCCTCCTCCTGAGCCTACGATACTTTCCACATAGATGAGTTGTCTGGAAAATTTACCCATTCCAAATCAGCTTTTCAAAAACTTCATGTTTCCTTATTATTGACCACAGCCCCTCCTCCTCACATGTTAACCCTCCCTGCTCTCCACCCATCCCCCATTCGGTTCCAGTCTACCTTTTTGGCTTAATTTACGTTTTGCCAAACAGATTCAGACTTTTCTTCCTTCAGTCATTTTAGCCCTTTCTCCATGTCTCATGATTCTAGCTCGGAATCGCTCATTTATTTTATTTTATTTTTATTTATTTATTTTTAGAGAGGGGGAAGGGAAGGAGAAAGAGACAGACAGAAACATCACTGTGTGGTTGCCTCTCTCATGCCTCCTACAGGAGACCTGGCTCACAATTCAGGCATGTGCCCTGACTGGGACTTGAACCAGTGACCTTTTGGTTCCAAGACCCTTTTGCTCATTTATTATAGACATTTGCTATGTATTATGCTCTGTGATAGGTCCAGCCATGCAAATAAAACATGATTCCTCCCCCCGAAGCTTAGTCCAATAGGGGAAATAGATATAAATAGATAATTACAACACAGTGAGGTAAGTGTGATAAGAATTATAAACTGGTCCTCTGGGGATTCCTGGGAGGGGCACTGAATTCATCCTTGGGTGAGGGGTCACAGGAGAGGCCCATAGTGGAACTGCTGACCCACAGAAACCATCACTCAACATCTTGCGAGGCACCGGCCAGTTGCCCTCTAATCGTGAATAAATTACAATTTTTCTACTTTTACTAGTGAATATTGTCAATCTTTAAAAGTTATTGTTTTGATAATAAAAATTCAGCATTCGTTATTTTACCTGGCATTTCTTTAACTCAAATTCTACTGATTTTGTTTTTAGCTTTTATAGTTGATACATTTAAAAACTTTTAAAACTAATTGCAGATTTATGGAAAGTTGCAAGTACAAAGAAGTTTTGCCCCTGATTTGTTTGAAAGTGGGTTCCCAGATAAGATGCCACATTACCTCAAATATTGTCTATTTCTTATAAATAAGAACATTCTCTAACCTATCCAGAATACAACCATCAAAGCAGGAAATCGGTACATTATCACCATTAAAGTTTTGCCAATTCCTATAACATTTACAGTAGAATAATCAAGGTAGAATTGCATACTATATTGAATTACCCAGTTTCTTTCAATCTGGAGCAGTTCCTTAGTTTTCTCTTCTGTGATCTTTTTTTTAAGACTTTATTTATTTTAGACAGAGGGGAAGAGAGGGAGAGAAACATCAATGTGTGGTTGCCTCTTGCACGTCCCCTACTGGGGACCTGGCCCACAACCCAGGCTTGTACCCTGACTGGGAATTGAACCGGTGACCTCAGTTCTCAAGCCGGCACTCAGTCCACTGAGCCACACTAGCCAGGGCCATGATCTTTTAAGTGTGTAATTCATTGATTTTTAAATGAATTCGCAGAGTTGTACAACCATCACCACAATCCAATGCTAGAACATTTCCAGCACCCCTCTGGCCCTCGTCCCAAACCTGTGTATTTGCAGTCAGTATCTGTTCCCACCCTGGCCAACCACTAATCTGCCTTCTGTCTGTAGGTTTGTCTTCTCTGGATGTCTCCTATCCATGGGATCGGATAGTCTGAGGATGTCGGCATTCACCGCCTTTGACCCAGCGTCGTGTTTCTGAGTTGCACTCGTGTTGCGGCACGCCTCAGCCCTAGCCCCCTCCCAGTGCCGCACTGCGTTCCTCCGTGTGGCTGTGCCTCATTTGTTCCCCCCTCACCATGCTATGGGCTTGGGGGCTGTTCATGCTTTTGGGCTACTGTGAGAAGTATTGCCTTGTATGATGTGGGCACTTGACCATTTTAGGCTAGTTGTTTTTTTTACACTGTCTCTTAATTTGGGGTTCTCTGCCAGACTTCTTGAGCTACCCTTTTTCCTTGGTTATTAAGTGTTTTGTTGGGAGATGCTTGGACATCATGTAAATATCCCATTTCTCATCAAGCTTTCATTTATTTAATTATAGCACCATGGACCTAACTTTGTATTCTAGTGGATTATATTTTAGTTATCATTGCATGCCCAACCACACCAAATCAAACTTGGGTGGAATAAAACATTGTATTTAAAAAGCTCAGTAGCTCTTTGGTCAGGAGCTCAGGCAGGATTCCCTACTCTGGATGGCCCGCCCCTGCCCCACAGCCTCTGGGCCGTGGTCCGGGAACTCGGGCTGCGGCGCGCCGGAGGGATTCCCAAGGTGTCTGCACTCGCACCCCTGGTGCCTGGTGTGAACCTCCCACCCGTGGGCGCCAGGGCTCCTTGAGCTTCCTCGCAGGGTGGGGTCTGGATTCCAAGTATGGTGGGCCCCAGAGAACAGGCAGAAGCGAGGCATTCTGATGGTCTAGCCTTGGGGGTCCCGTGGCATTGATCCTGCCGTACCTGGTGGGGGGGCAGCCATAAGGTGCTGTCCAGGTTCCAGGGGCTCTGATGCCCTCACTTCTGGAAGGCGTGTTGACATCCCATTAGAAGAAGGGCACGTGGGATGGGAGATAGTACTGCATTATCTTTGGAAAGCTGATCGCCACAGGCTGCATAAGCTGGTACTGGGATTGTTTAATGCCTGAGTCGTCCCATACTTGGCTTGTGGGAACTTCCTCAAGCTGGCTTCCATTGAGTCCTTTTCACACGTCTCGCCATTCTCTGGCCAGCTTCCTTAGCTTCTGGCACACGGTGTTTCGGGACCAGCTTGTCTTTTCCATGTTCCAGCCCTGAGATCAGCTGTTTTTTAAGGAGCCTGTTTCCTTTTCATGGACAGTGGCATTTAGAAATCGAGGTTTGCACCCAGGGAGTGTTCACTGCTCCTGGGCTGTGTGGCTGCTCCTGGGGCAGAGCTGTGGCGTGTACACACCCAGTTATCTTCTGTGTGGGGGGTTCGAAGCAGGACGGTGATGCCTGTGCCTTCTTGTCCAGTCAGGTATCACAGGGCTTATTTTAATTTTATGCCCTTTCAGGTATTTTAAAAGCAGATTTATTGGGCTGTAATTTATGTAGCATACAGTTCACCTGTGTAAAGTGTACTGTTCGCTTTTAGTATATTTGCAGAGTTGTGCCGCCATCACCACAGTCAGTTTTAGGACGTTGTCTTTCATCCAAAAAGAAGCTTCCTCTGCTCTGACCCATGTGTCTCTCAGTGGGTTGGGCATTGTCCTGCAAAGCAAAACATCAGCGGTTTGATTCCTGGTTGGGGCAGGTGCCTGGGTTGCAGGTCCCCCGTTAGGGGTGAGCAAGAAGCAACCGATGGATGTTTCAATTGTGCTGATGTTTTTCTCCCTCTCTTTCTCCCTCCTTCCCCTCTCTCTAAAAAAATAAAAATAAATAAAATCTAAGAAGAAAAAGGAAGAGTGGTTCTCCTCAGCCTCCACTCAGCTGTCCCCTCCTCAGCCCTGGGCAGCCAGTGTTGACCTGTGTCTGTGTGTACCTCGTCTGTTCTGGGCACGGCACGGCAGTGGGTTCCGACGACACGTGGCCTTTATGTCTGGCTTCTGCCACTGGGCACCATGTTCCCCAAGGCTCCTCCACACTGACACGTGTTGGTGCTTTTATCTCTTTTTAGGGCCAAACGATACTCATTGTGTGAGTGCACGACGCTTTAGTGCATTCATGGTGGGCGGGTGTTCGGGTGGTGTCTGCGTTCTGGCTATTAGGGACACTGCTGCTGTGACTGCCCCTGTGCAAGTGTCTGTGTGGATGCACGCTGTTCATTTCTCTGGTGGGGTTGCTGGCGCAGGGTGCCCCGGTGTGTTCTGCTGAGGAAGGGCCAGGCTGTCCTCCTGGAGGCTGCACCATGGACAGTGCTGCCGGCAAGGTTGAGAGGGCGCCTCCCCCGTGTCTTCACCGACAACTGTTATCTTCTCTTTTCAGAATCACAGCGTTCCTAGCAGGTGTGAAGCAGTGTCACCACACTGGTTTCCGTGTGCATCTCCACCTGGCTAATGCTGAGCATCTTTCATGTACCGACCCGCCATGGGCGTATTGTCTTTGGAGAAGTAGGGATTCAGGTCCTTTCCCCATTTGTAAGTTGAGTTATTTGTCTTTTAGTGACTGAGTTATCAGGGTTCTCTTTTTATCCCAGGTATAAGTTCCTTATCAGAATAAAATTTGCAAACATTTCTCTCATTTTGTGGATTCTCTTTTGGCTTTTTGCATGGTTTCCTTTAAAGCACAAAAGTTTTAAATTTTCAAGAAGTCCAACTTACCTGTTTTTTTTTTCTTGGAGCTTTTGGGTGTCATCTTAAGAATCCATTGCCAAATCCAGGGTCGTAAAGATTTATGCTTGTGTTTTTTCTGTGCGTTTTAGAGTTTTAGCTCTTCGTGGGAGGTGTGTGATCTGTGTTGAGCAGATTCTTGTGTGGGGGGGGCAGAGGAAGAGTGCGACTTCACTCCTCTGCACGTGGTGAGCGAGTCGTCCCAGCAGGACTTGTTGACAGTCTCTCAGCGTTTTACCAACCCTGTTACTTACTGCCGCTTTGTTCTCTTCCCTTCCAAGGAAAACTTCAAAAATGTTTCAAATTCCCGTGGAAAATCTCGACAACATCAGGAGGGTACGAAAAAAGGTGAAAAGCATTCTTGTGGACATTGGGCTGGAGAGCTGCAAGGAGCTGCTGCAGGTGAGAGGGCGTCGGGGTCAGGCGGAGAGCAGCCAGTGGCCCTGGGGGTGCCAGGGCCCCAGGGTTGGCCTTCTGGGGCTGGGAGTTGACCTGGGAGTTTTGGGAGGATGGGCGAGATTCCTCAAGGTGGAGATCATCATTCGTTCTAATTTATGTCTCTGTGATGTAAACTGTGTAATTTTAAGCTGTGTAAGTTTTTAAAGTGACTTTTATGAGGGTTTTTTGTAGTCGCTAGTTTTAAAACGCCGTTGACCCTGAGCGACGGGTGAAGCTGCGCGGGCCCGCGTGTGCTCGGCGTTTCCGGTGGGCGCGCGGTCGGCCCCTGCGCCCCTGGCCTCAGTCCGCGGGTCCAGCCAGCAGCAAACCGGAAACGGCAGTTCCGACCTGGGAGTTGCAGGCGCAAGGGGCTGACTGGGTGCACTGTTCTAGGCCGTTCCACAGGGGGACTCGAAGGTTCCCGGGTCCTGGTCTTCGTGGGGGTCCTAGAGCCGATCCGCTGTCGCTGCCCAGGGACAGCTAGACTTCTGGGGTGTTGAGAATTGTATGTGGGTTTTCAGCTGCGGGCAGAGCGCTGGGTTTGGGGGTTGGGACCCCCAATTCCCATGTTGTTTGAGCGTTAACTGTGTGTTTGTTTTTGCTCTTTGAGGAGAACATGTTGAATTATTTATTATTTTAGCAGAAAACCCTAACTTAATCCCCCAGTATTGTTTGAGTAACAAATAAATGGGATGCATGCATGATATGATAGGGTGTTGTTTTTTCTGACTTGTGAATTTAATATATTTATTCTTACAAAAGTTTTAAAATTAAGGTCACAGCCACACTCCTGATAAGTTGTGTTCACTTACAATTTTATATCCTTTCTTAGAGCTTGAGAATCCATGGTTGGCATGTCTAGTAAAGAAGTAAAAATGGGTAAACAAGGCATGTTGTGTGACCTTATGGCCATTGATAATTCTATACGTATTTTATTCATAACTATTAAAATAGTTATGAATTGTCAGCTTTGATTTTTTTTAAACTTGTGAAGAATTTGATTCAAAGTATTTTGGCCTGGGAAGAGTTTAATTTCTTAAAATTTTCAAATCTCAGACTTCCGACCAGATTGATTTTACTGATAAAAAGGCAGTCTGATGCTACTAGGGTGGTAATTTCCAGGATTCTCGTTAATGGTCAGCAGGTAGACAAATGTTCATCTCTAAAGGACCCCAGGGAGCTCTTCTCGCTCCGACGGGGCCTCCCCACTGTGCTCTGCTCTGCCGCCTGCTCTGCTGCCTTCGTAGCTCCCAGGGTCCTGAGGTGCCAGGTTCCTTCTGTCTCCCACTCCTGAGTGTAGGGAGGCAGGGACCTCACTGTGTTGTTATCAGCTCTCCTACCTGTAGCCGGAATTATGTTTGGCACATAGACACTTAACAAATGTATATATATATTTTAACCAAAATTTTTAAATGAATCAGTGAGAGTAAGTACTTTTGGTAACAGATCGATTGAGAGTTCACTTGGAAATAAAGGGAGATACTGAAGTGGAAGCTCTCGGAAAGACACGACTTCTCAGGAGCAGTGTTCAGATAACACAACTCCCAGGGTTCCCTGCAGCCCTGTCTGCGAGTCAAATTTTATGACTTCCATGAGGAAGAAAGCAGGTAGTTACTTGGATACAAGATTGAGAAGGTGGATAATAGACACATAGTCCATTAATAATAAAGAAGTATGTGCCTTTAGTATTTGCAGAGAGTGTAAAAACAAGCTAAGAACACAAGTGTATGAGTGTAGACTGAGGAAATTTCAACCAATAATAAAGGGGATGCTCCTAGAATGTGCCTTGTGTGTGGCTGATACTAAAAAAGTTAACCCGGAAGGTATAATAGTTCCCTTTGGTGAACAGAGAGAATACTGCTGAATTATTTAAGGGATAAAGAGATGCGTTTTATTTCAGTCCTGGCTATTGGGAAATGGTGTGACCTTCAGCAATGCAGTCCCCCTTTGGGCCTCAGTGTCTTCACCAGGACGGTGACGGAGGAGAGAGACTCAGTCGGACCCTGAGGCCCAGGAGGGAAGTGACGGTCCAGTAGGAGCAGAGAGACCAGCTGAGACAGCCCTAGAGAGAAGCCCGCAGAGGGGTCGCGTCTGACTGGGGGCCCTGGGGCCTTGGTAGCGGAGGTAGGGCTGGAGCTGTTGGAAGGAACGGGTGGGGTTTTCCGTTGGAGAGAGGGGGAGGGCGCTCCGGGAACTTGGGGTAGAGGGCCATGCCCAGCTGACAGGCCTCCATCAAACCAGAAGGGGTTGATGAAGGTTTCTTTTTTCAGTTGTTCCATTTGGAAATAATTTAAACTTACAGAAATCTTACAATAATAGAAGTAGTACAAGGGACATTCACTAACCTTTACTTGGATTTAACACTTGTTAACATTTAATCCCACTTGCTCTAACATCTCCTTCCTTTGCTTGTGCTGGGCGTGTGTGTTTGTGTGTGTGATGTTTCCCTGAGGTACTTGAGAGTGAGTGGCACATCTCATGACCCTGACTCCCTGAATGCTTCAAGTGCGTTTTCTGAGAATAAGCATAGACTCTTGCCTTGGCTGGTGTGGCACAGGGGATTGCGTGCCAGCCTGTGAACCAAAGGGTGGCCGGTTCAACTCCCAGTCAGGGCACACGCCTGGCTTGCGGGCCAGGTCCCCAGGAGGGGGTGCACGAGGGGCGACCACCCAGGGATGTTTCTCTCCCCCTCTATCTCCCTCCCGCCTCCTCTCTCTAAAAGTAAATAAACACAGTCTTTTTCAAAAAGTAGAACAGTCTCGTCACAGGACGATCACCAAGCCGAGTGAGTTTGACGTTGGTAAGGTACCTGCGTCTGGTCTAACCTAATCGCTTAGAGCACCTCGTTCTCCACGGTGCTGGGCCCCGTCCAGGGTCAGGTGTTGCTTCTGGTTGTCATGTCCCTTTCGGCCCTTCAGTGTGAACTCGGTTTTATTTTTATTGTATTTATTTGTTTTTAAAGAAATATATATTTTTAAAGGTTTTATTTATTTATTTTTAGAGAGAGGGGGAGGGTGATATCGATGTGAGAGAGAAACAGGACCAGACCCACAACCCAGGCCTGCGCCCCGACTGAGAATCGAAGAGGCGACCCTTTGCTCTGCAGGACCATGCTCGACCAACTGAGCCACAGTGGTCAGGGCTGGCCTCAGTTTCTAAGTGAAATTCTGTTACAAAATTGGTTTTGTTTTATTTTTAAATAAAACACCAGTAACAACTTAAATGGAAATTTTCATCCTGGAGTCCTTTCGTAAACGCTGGTATAGAACTGAATATCCTTCACTGACTTGTGCTGCCGTAGTCAGCCTGATGGGTTTGCTCATGTGGTTTGCTCAAGACTTGACCTTTTCTTCCAGGAGCAGGACACAGCTGTGCACACACCTCACAGGGCAGGGTAGGAGATCTGAACAGCTTACAAATATCGTTAGTTAGACTGACCGTTGGGTTAAATGTTATTAATTCTTTTGTGGGAATTTTTTTGTTTTAATTAATTTGTAGTTGGTTCTATATTTACTAAATTTTTAAAAACTCAAGCAGTGTAAAGGTTTATCACAGAGCAGTCAGAAGACGCCATGCACACAAATGTAGTGGAGAGGGGAGACCGCGCCGTTGCCCCGAGTGCCCATGGCTGCTGCTGTGTGTGTCCTCCGCGTCTCCCCAGACGGGGCTGCCCCAGCGGGACCGCGCGGGTCTGCTTTCACCTTTCCACGGACTCTCTCAGTGAGAGCTTTCCCCATGCCACACGCGCCACCCTTAGTGCACCGTAGTGTTCAGAGCTTCTTGTTTCCAAGCAGCAGAAGCCCACGCTGACCGGCTCAGAAGGGGTCATCCGCCGGGGAGGCGGCGAGCCCTGCCGACGGCCCGCGGTTGTCTCTGCGTCCTTCTTTAATTTCGGTCGTGAATGGCTTCGGTTGGTCTGGTGGCATTTTCAGTGTCCTCGACTTTCACCTGCCTGGTTAGATGTATGCTTAGGCACGTTATTTTCGATGGTATTGAAAAAGGACTTGTTTTCTCTATCTCCTTTTCAGATCGTTTATTGCAGGTTTGTAGAAGCACAACTGACTTGTGTGTGTTGGTTTTTAACCTGTAGGTCTGCCGAATTATTACTTCTGGTAGGTTTGTGTGTGTGGGGGGGTGGCTGGCATTTTCTATAGATAGGATTATGGGATTTGTGAATAGAAATAGTTTTCCTTCTTCTCTTTCAACTTGGATGTCTTTTATCTCTTTTTCTGACCTAATAGCTCTGGCTAGAGCTTGAGTACAGCACTGTTGACTAACAGCGGTGAAAGCCAGCACCCTTGTCTTCTGCCTGATCTTAGGGGAAACCTTCAGCCTCTCACCGTGGAGCAGGATGGCTTTGGTAAAATGCCCAGTGTCCTGCTGAGGGAGTCCCCGAAAGCGCTTTGTCCTGGGAGGACGCTGGGCTCCGTCAGAGGCCGGCTCTGTGTCGGTGACGGCGGGTGTGTGGCTCTCCTCCCTCCTTCTCCGGTGGCGTGTGGTGTCGCGTCGATGGGTTTTCTCATGCTGAACACTCCGCCCTTGTGTCTTTGGTATCAATCCCACCTGGATATAGTGTGCAGTCTTTTTAAGTATACGGTAGGGTTGTGTTTGCTAGTATTTTGGTGAGGATTTCTCATCTTTATTCATGAAGACCATTTGTAATTTTCTTTTTTGGTGATTCCTGGGCTGGCTCTGATAGCAGGGTCCTGGACATTTCCGCGTTTGACGCGTCTGATTGCCGTTTTAGTCTCCACTTGTTAGTTGTCCTCTGAAATTTTCTGTTTCTTCTCGAATCAGTTGAGGTGATTCTGTATGGTTCTGGGACTCTTTCCAGTTCATTTCATGTATCTGTGTGCATACGGTTGTTGGCAGTGTTGATGCTTGTCTGACCCTTTTACTTCTACGAGCTCAGTTGTAATGCCCCTACTTTCATTTCTGATTTTAATTATTTTTATCTTCTCTCTTTTTCTGTCAGTGTAGTTAAACATTTGTAAATTTTGTTAATTTTTTCAAATAAGCAACTTTTGGCTTGATTTTACTTTTTTAATCTTTGCTCAGTTCCCGGGTGATTTTGATCTTAATGTGCTGCTGGGGGTCGAGACCCCTCCTCTCCACGTGTTCTGCTCGGGTCCGCTCTTCACACCAGGCAGCTGAGGCACGGAGCACAGGAGCTTCTGCTGAATTATATTTTAATGCTACAAGACAGTCGTTGAAATTTTCTTCTACGTTTGCTCTTAACCTGTTTTCACTTACACTCGTTATTTTGCTGAGAGTCCCCCTTATGAAACATGACAAGAAGTTTCTTTATAGAGCCGCTGTTAGGAGTGTATGTGGCATATGTGGGCGCACCGGACCCACCACGCGGGTCAGCCTGCCCCTCCTGCCGAGAGGTCACCCCGGCCAGGTGCACCGCCCCTCCGACGGCGGCTCTGCTTCGCACCCGTTCCGAGGCGAAGGACTGCGGCGCTGGGCTGGACTCAGAAACACAGATGATGGGGTCGGTGGAGAAGTCGGGGAGACACCGGGGGTTCTTTCTGGGTGTGGGGCGTCTCCGTGTTTATGGTGAGAATGTTGGAGACAGCATGGAATTGGGTCTTGTTTTTGTACCCAGTCTCATAGTCTGTGTCTCTTAGTGTGCGAACTTCGAGCAGGTGCAGGCGCACTGTGGCCCAGAGCAGGGGCCAGATCTGGCTGCTGTGTCGGCAGCCTTTCCAGAGCACAGCCACTTGCCGGGGCCCGCGTGGCGTCCCTGGCCGCCCCGTGCGTGACGGTGGGGTCGAGTCGTGGGGTCAGAGCCTGCAGTGCCGCAGGGACTTGCCGAGGGCCTGGCTGCACCTTCACAGAGGCTGGCCAGCCCCCATCTCTGAAGGTGCTTGTTGACTGTCGGCTCCGGTTTGTCCCCCAACTCGCTGTTCGCTTGTACTTGTCTCATCTGTTCTTTGTTCCTTTTCCCCTGCTTTCTTCTGGCTTGTGTATTTTTGTGATTCCGTTTTCGCCTCCATTACTGGCTTACGAGCTCCGTGCTGTCGTTGGCTGTTTGGATGGCATGCTGCTTGCTGCCCCGGTGATGCGCGAGCCTCACAGCGCATGCTCTCTCCTTCCCGCCTCCGTGCCGCCATCCCCGCTGCCTCCCTGCGGTGCGTGACAGCCCCACGGCGTGTGTTCCCAGTTTGCGTCCTTGTCACCGTGTGTGCTGTGCTCTGGCTCTGAACTGACTCGTGAGCAGCGGTGCGTTAGCACAGGTGTATGCAGAGACAGCGATTGCATTGACTCTCTTTTTCTGGTTTAAGTAGTATTTTTTCTTTTTTTCTTTTTTAAAATATATTTTATTGATCATGCTATTACAGTTGTCCCATTTCCCCCCTTCCCTCCCCTCCACCCTGTACACCCTCTCCCACCCACTTCCCCCCTCTTTAGTTCATGTCCATGGGTCGTACATATAAGTTCTTTAGCTTCTACATTTCCCATACTATTCTTGCCCTCCCCCTGTCTATTTTCTACCCACCATCTATGCTACTTATTCTCTGTACCTTTTCCTATTCTCTCCTCCCACTCCCCTGTTGCTAACACTCCATGTGATCTCCATTTCTGTGGTTCTGTTCCTGTTCTAGTTGTTTGCTTAGTTTCTTTTGGTTTTGGTTTAGGTGTGGTTGTTAATAATTGTGAGTTTGCTGTCCTTTTACTATACATTTTTTTTTATCTTCTTTTCTTAGATAAGTCCATATAATATAATTTAGCATTTCATATAATAAGGGCTTGGTGATGATGAACTCCTTTAACTTGACCTTATCTGAGAAGCACTTTATCTGCCCTTCCATTCTAAATGAAAGCTTTGCTGGATAGAGCAATCTTGGATGTAGGTCCTTGCCTTTCATGACTTGGAATACTTCTTTCCAGCCCCTTCTTGCCTGTAAGGTCTCTTTTGAGAAATCAGCTGACAGTCTGATGGGCACTCCTTTGTAGGTTACTGTCCCCTTATCTCTTGCTGCTTCTAGGATTCTCTCCTTCATTTTTACCTTGGCTAATGTAATTATGATGTGCCTTGGTGTGTTCCTTCTTGGGTCCAACTTCTTTGGGACTCTCTGAGCTTCCTGGACTTCCTGGAAGTCTGCATCCTTTGTCAGATTGGGGAAGTTCTCCTTTATTATTTGTTCAAATACGTTTTCAATCTGTTGCTCTACCTCTTCCCCTTCTGGTACCCCTATGATTCAGATGTTGGAACGTTTAAAGATGTCCTGGAGGTTCCTAAGCTTCTCCTCATTTTTTTGAATTCTTATTTCTCCATTCTTTCCTGTTTGGTTATTTCTTTGTTCCTTCTGGTCCACTCTATTGTTTTGAGTCCCAGTTTCCTTCCCATCACTGTTGGTTCCCTGTGCATTTTCCTTCATTTCTTTTATGGTAACCTGCGTTTGTTCATCTAATTTGCAACCAAAATCAACCAATTCTGTGAGCTTCCTGATCACCAGTGTTTTGAACTGTGCATCTGATAGGTTAGCTATCTCTTGGTTGCTCAAAAGGATGAGTTCTGGGGGCACTGATTTGTTCTTCTGTTTGAGCCATCTCTCTCTCTCTCTCTCTTTTTTTTTTTTTGTTTTGGTCTGGTCGCTCCTGTTACGGTGGGGGGCGGACCCTTAGGTGTTCACCAGGGCTGGGCACCCCAGTTGCTAGATTGTGATGTTGTATGTGGGGGCGGGGGTGGGAAGGAACAATGGCGGCAGCCCCACTCTCCTGGGACCTCGGTCCCTTCCCTGGGATCCTGGATTGCGCGCTCTGCCCTGGTCCACAATCGCCATCTCACTGGGTCCTCCAGCTACCGCTTGCGTACTCAGGGTCCACCTGCTGTGATCTCGCGCGCCCCGGATGCCTTACGCACTCCCGGTTGCCTTGTGCGCCCAACTCTCCCTGTTCTCCATGCCGTGACCCACGCCCGGCTGCTCCTCTCCGCCCCTCCCACCAGTCTGGATGAACAGGTCTACTTCAACTTCTTGGCTGTCCGACTTCCATTCAGATAAATTTTCTGTCAGTTCTGGGTGTTATTCTGCCTCTAAATTATTGTTGTTCCAATCTTGGTTGTGGGTAGAGGTACGGTGCGTCCACCTATGCCTCCATCTTGGCCGGAACTGTATTTTTAATAAATTAAAAAGACCTTATTATAAAAACAGTAATACAAACTGTGAAAGAGAAACTGCAGGCAGTTATTTCTTTAGAAAGTAGAATTTTAAACGCCACACTTCCACCACGCAGGGGTCACCAGTCCTGACACCTGAGTGTTGAGCCTTGTCTCCGTGTGTGGTCTCTACCCCTTGAGCTCGCATTGATCGCGCTTTGCTTTTCTCTGTTACCTTCACCTCTCTGTCTGTCTTATTGCCCAGTTTGTACCCAGACTTCTCCAGTTTCCCCCAGATACCTTTCACCCTTGGTTTGTTGAGCCCTGCAGGACCAGCCTGGGCCGGGCTGCCTCCGGTGGCTGGGTTCTCAGAGACGCCATCCCCTTCCGTCTCGGCGCCCTCGCTGTCCCAAGCGCCGCACCTGGCCCACCTGGCCCACGGGGCCTCCCTGTGGCTGGCGCCTGGGGCCCTGGTTTGCGTGCCCGTGCTGCTCCCCCCGCACACCCCAGCGCCCAGCAGTCCGCGCTGCCGGTGGGGCTGGGGCAGGCTGGGGCTTCTCTCTCTTAGAAACTACTTGTGGGAAGTGCCATCTGTTTATTTCTTATAAAACTGTAATTTTAACTTGGGTTCTTTCAACCTTTTCCTCGGACTCATACTTAACGGGCGCTCTGTCACAGTTTGCTGGTGGGCTGCAGTTTCATTCAACTTTCCCCACGTAGAGCCCGTAGGTGCCAAGGAGTCCCTTCAGGTTCTAACGACTGTTTCTTTATCTGCTGAAATTCCGTAATGATTTCTCTCCTTTTCCCCTTTTTCAAAAAGGACCTTAAAGGCTTTGACCCAGGAGAGAAGTACTTTTATAACACATCATGGGGAGACATTTCTCTCTGGGAACCTTCTGGAAAGAAAGTGGTATGTATTTTTGCATTCGATTTTCATGTTTCCTCCAAAGCGGGGCGTGAGGGCTGACTCAGTTCTGAGGGGCGGAGGGGTGCGTGGTGGCCATTGCTGTCCCCAGCCTGTGGCTGCTCCTGCTGGTTTTGCACTGTGGCTCTCACCGAGCAGAAGCTGTCTGGCCGTGATGGAGTTTAGTGTATTGTTTCTTCCTTTTATGGATTGTGTTTAAGACATTTTCTGCCAGCCGAGAGATCTGTTCCACACTAACAGATGATGACATGCAGTGAGTTCTGTTGGTTCTTCCATTGAGTGTAATTTTTGCTGAGTATCTTGTTTTTCAATATAGTGTTTCATTGATATGAGACACTGTTTTTTGGTGAACCTCTGATAAAACTAAAGCCATGCTTCACTCAAACTGTGCCACCGCGCCATCCGCTGTAAAGGACTGCCAGATTTCGGAGACACTGAAGTATGAAAAAGGAGTCTCTCAGAATCTTTGAGAAATGGAGCTTTTAGTGCGTGGTTGGCTGTGGCCCTGGGTTTATGGTCAGTTCTCCCAGAACTGCCGGAACTTGGGGCTGCTGGCTGCAGAGGAGGCGGGGCGGGTCACTGCGTGTGTCTGGGTGATCGCTGTGGCCCATGTCCTGAGACGACGAAGTGCCAGAGCAGGAGTGAGCCAGGGTGGCAGCCACAGAGGGGACGCTGTGTGTGGTGAGGGAGGGACTGGAGGGGGAGGCGCAGGCCTGGGCGGGGGGCGGACCTGGGCACACTGTGCTGCAGGGGGCAGGGCCCTCCTCCCCGTGTGGGGTGACATCCGCACAGCCCACAGTGGGGCCCTAGAAGAAGCGTTGGTCTGTCCAGGTCTCACCAGGGCCGGGTGTTCCGTGGTCTATGGCTCTGGGGTCTGGAGGTTGCTGAGGCCTGAGGGCCCCTCCTCGAACAGCTGCACAGATGAGCGGGTGCCTGTGCGCCCCCCCCCGCCCGGCCCCAGCCAGGGGGCTCAGATCCTGCTCTCGTGCCTGAGTGTGTTGAGTTCCCCCACGTGGGCCTCAGAGGGAGAGTCCATCTTTGTCAGCACTGTCTTCTGCGGCCTGAGCCCCAGTGAGACCTGGCTGAGGATTGTTGGTGGTGACACATGCACGGTGTGCCATGTGGTTTGCTGGGCGCTCACACCTGCTGAGCTCGGTCCATCAGGCTCTTAGCCTCCCCAGGACTAGAAATGGGAGTGGGGGGCAGAGGTGGTGTAGGTTTCACAGTTTGCTAGTCAGGCTACCTGGATAAATCCTGGAGGTTTTAGAATGTGGAGTAAAAATCAGAAAAATAGGGTGGAAAGAGGAGAAAGAAACTATATCTTTGCAGGGAACTGAGCTGATTTTCATTGATGCAGTTAGTTCGAAGTATAGGACGAAGGAAAGAGATTTGCGGTTTCAGTGGGTGGTTTGGAAATGGATCATGCTGTGTGTTTTTGTATGGACTAGAAGCTAAGAAGAGTTGTTAAGTTTTTAAATGTTTGAGAAGGAAAAAATGGGGAAGAATGCCATCCTGTACATGGAAGTCGTTAAAATTTGAATGAGCACAGTTTTACTGGCACAATTTGAATGAGCACAGTTTTACTGGCACAAAGCCATGCTCACGGGTGTTCACGTGGTCTGTTCGCTCACTTGTCTGACCAGCCGGTGCCGAGTGGTTGCTGTTGAAGCTGCTGTGTGGCCCCGAAAGCCTTAAATATTTACTCTCTGGCCCTTTAAGAAAAAGCTTGCCCTGGCTTAAAACACACACTGCTCCCTGAGAGGTGACAGTGTCAGCTGTCGAGCACAGCACAAGAGAAGAGTCGTGTGCTCATGAACTGTGTGCGGTGCGGCTAGCATCGCGTAGCTTTATTAAAGGGTGCTCGACTTTTTCTTTTCACAGAGATACCGAACAAAGCCGTACTGTTGTGGCCTCTGTAAATACTCTACAAAAGTGCTTACTTCGTTCAAAAATCATTTACATCGCTACCATGAAGAAGAAATTGACCAAGAGCTGGTGATCCCTTGCCCAAACTGTGTGTTTTCCTCTCAGCCCAAGGTGGTGGGGAGGCATTTCAGAATGTTCCATGCGCCTGTTCGGAAAGTCCAGAACTACACAGTGAACATCCTAGGTGAGACTAAGTCGTCTAGGAGTGATGTCATCAGCTTTACGTGTTTGAAGTGTAACTTCTCCAACACTTTGTACTACAGCATGAAGAAGCATGTGCTGGTGGCCCACTTCCACTACCTGATTAATTCCTACTTTGGCCTGCGAACGGAGGAAGTGAGTGAGCAACCCAGAACTGACGACCCCCCTTCGACGGAGAAGATGCCGCCCTCTGACAAGTATTACTGTAAAAAGTGCAATGCCAATGCCAGCAGCCAGGATGCATTAATGTATCATATTTTGACATCAGATACACACAGAGATTTGGAGAATAAGCTCAGGTCCGTGATTTCGGAGCACATCAAGAAGACTGGACTTCTGAAGCAAATGCACATCGCTCCCAAACCCGCGGCACACTTGGCCATTCCCCCGAGCGGCGGCGCTCTGGGTGTCCCTGCCACGTCCCCTTGCTTTCATCTCGCCTTGCCACCAAGCAGCCAAAGCCAGACCGCCGTCCAGCCAGTTCAGGGCACGGTCCAGCCAGTGACGGTGACCTCGGGCGTTTCCGGAAGCCTCACCCATTCTCCGCCCTCCGCTGCCCAGTCCCACGTGACTCTGGTCTCCAGTCCCCTGCCCGGGGGCCAGAGCGGCCTCACTCTGCCGCCCGCACCGCCGCAGCCTGTCTTCCTGTCTCCTGGAGTCCCGCTTCGCCAGCCAGCCAACCCCCCTGTGCTGCCCCTGAGTCGGCCAGTGGGGCCCGTCAAGTCCGTCGGCACCGGTGTCCTGCCCGTGAACCCGACCATCCGACCAGGGGTGTTACCCCTCAGCCGGCCTGTTGGGCCCGTAAGCCGACCAGTTGGGCCTGGAGTTCTGTCGGTGAACAGGCCCGTCGGGCCAGCTGTCCTCCCTGTCAGCCCCTCTGTCACTCCCGGCGGCGTTCTTCAGGCCGTCTCCCCAGGAGTGATTTCTGTGAGCCGGACTGTCCCATCAGGCGTCCTTCCTGCAGGCCAGATGACCCCTGCTGGGGTTATCCCTTCAGGACAGACAGCAACTTCTGGGGTGCTCCCTGCTGGCCAGATGGTCCAGTCTGGGGTTCTCCCCATCGGCCAGACGGCTCCGTCGGGGGTCCTTCCCCCTGGGCTGACGGTGCCGCCACGGCCGCTCCCTCCCGGCCAGGCGGTCCCGCTGCGGGTTCTCCCCGCAGGCCAGGTGGTCCCACCTGGGCTCCTCTCTCCCAGCCAGACAGTCTCGTCCAACCTGCTCCCTGGGAGCCAGGCTGTGAACTCTGGCGTGCTGCATCTCAGCCAGCCGGTTGTGTCAGGGGTTCTTCCGGTGAGCCAGCCGGGGAGGCCTGGGGTCCTGCAGCTCAGTCAGTCTGTGAACCCCAACATCCTGCCCGCGAGCCAGCCGGGGAGGCCTGGCGCTTCGCAGAACACTGCCTTCCTGACGTCAGGCTCCATTCTCAGGCAGCTGATACCTACGGGGAAGCAGGTGAACGGGATCCCCACGTACACACTTGCCCCAGTGTCTGTCACACTGCCCGTGCCCCCTGGAGGCGTCGCAGGGGTCACCCCGCCCCAGGTGCCCATCCAGCTCCTGCAGTCGGGCGCAGCCGCACAGATGGCCGGTCCCGTGGCCGGCATGCCCTCCCCGTCTGTGGTGGTGAGCGCGTCTCCGAGCGTGTTCCTGCAGCCCCCCGCCCCTGGGGCAGAGGCGGGCCCGGGGCTCAAGCCAGCGAAGCAGTGGAAAACCTGCCCGGTGTGCAACGAGCTCTTCCCATCCAACGTCTACCAGGTCCACATGGAGGTGGCTCATAAGCACAGCGAGTCCAGAGCCGTTGAGAAGCTGGAGCCGGAGAAGCTGGCTGCGTGCGCGCCGTTCTTGAAGTGGATGAGGGAGAAGACGGTCCGGTGCCTGTCCTGCAAGTGCATGGTCTCGGAGGAGGAGCTCATGCGCCACCTGCTGATGCACGGCCTGGGCTGCCTCTTCTGCCCACGCACGTTCCACGACATCAGGGGCCTCGCGGAGCACAGCAGGACCACGCACCTGGGCAAGAAGAAGCTGCCCGTGGATTACAGTAACAAAGGTTTCCAGCTGGACATCGATGCCAACGGCAACCTGCTCTTTCCCCACCTCGATTTCATTACCATGTTGCCAAAGGAAGAGCTGGGGGAGCGGGAGGTCTACTTGGCAGTCCTGGCTGGGATACACTCCAAGTCGCTCGTGCCCGTGTACATTAAGGTGAGGCCGCAGTCGGAGGGTGTGCCTGGGGGCCCCAGCAAGCAGGTGTTGACCTGCCCTTTTTGCTTCGGCACCTTTCTGACAACCGAGGCGTATGAGCTGCACTTGAAGGACAGGCACCACATCACCCCCACAGTCCACACCATCCTGAAGTCTCCAGCTTTCAAGTGCATCCACTGCTGTGGGGTCTACACCGGGAACATGACGCTGGCGGCCATCGCCATCCACCTGCTGCGCTGCAGGAGCGCCCCGAAGGACAGCAGCTCGGACCTGCAGGCCCAGCCCGACCTCATCGAGGACAGCGAGCTGCTGCTGGTCAACGGCGAGGTGGTGCACGACCCCAGCCTCGCCGTGAAGAGAAAGCTGCCCGAGGGCCCGCCCGGGGCTGAGGAGGCGCGGGGAGGGGAGCAGCGGCCTCTGGTCGTGAGCGCGGAGGGGGGCCCGGCTCCAGAGAAGGCGCTGAGTGTCGCGCCTTTTAAACGACAGAGAAATGAGAGCAGGACGGAGGGACCGCTGGTCGTGAACGAGGACGCGCTTCAGATTTTAGCATTAAATCCCAGAAAGTATGAAGACCGTTCTTACGAAGAAAAAAAGCAATTTCTTAAAGATTATTTCCACAAGAGACCGTACCCCAGTAAAAAGGAAATAGAGCTGCTATCCTCACTCTTGTGGGTGTGGAAAATTGACGTGGCTTCGTTTTTCGGAAAAAGAAGATATATTTGCATGAAAGCAATAAAAAGTCACAAGCCTTCTGTCCTTTTAGGCTTCGATATGTCTGAACTCAAAAATGTTAAACACAGATTGAACTTTGAGTATGAACCACAAAATGTAAAAAATTAGGAAAGTAGTTTTTTCAATTGAGGTTTTTTGAAAATGTTATTTTCTTCACTGTATATTGAACTAATCAATTTCAGTGGTCTTTATGCTGCTCTTTAGGTGTATTTCAGGTGCTCAGCAAGACTTCTGTACGAAGAAGTGATAGTTCTTTCAGAGTTACTATTCCCTGCAGTTGGGTTTTGTCACAGTTATTTTTAGTTTGTTTTCTCTGTCGAGTCAATTAAATCTCTCGATGTTCCACGCACGCCTTGCTTTCCCGGTAGTGTCAGGACCGCACGATAAAAACTGAAATCTACACATGTTGGTGTTTTCATTTAAGGAAATTTCAGCTTGTTTCAGAATACTTAATTACCTGCAGATCTCAGCTTCGATCTCCCTCAGCCTCACTGTAGCTGCAAGTGATGCAGTGAACGTTCAGTGATGTCAGCACAGACCCTGTGACGTGTGCGGCTCCTGAGGGTGCATGGCCTTCACTCTGCCGGTTGCTTCTTTGTAAGATACTTGCTTATTAGGTTATGGTTTTCATTTACATTGTTTCAGGTTCGTCTTAGCCATTTTTGATCATAACTCATAGAGAACCAAATATTTTCATTGGTTAGAAAATAAATACCTGAAGTCTGGTATTTTAGCTCATAAGTCAAGAGTTGTTTTACAAATACAATAATTCTGTAGATGCAGGAATACTTTTCAGTGTAGACTGTCCCTCTTTTTGATGTGGCGGTAAGTCATTTTTCCATTCAAAGGTGAGACGACAAATCTTTAGTGCCTTTAGAGTAAACACTGAAAACACATGAGCTCTTCTACTAACCTAGCTACTCTTAAACCACGGAAGGGAAGGACGAGGACCACGTTACTCAGGAATAAAGTTTTTACCCCTGAGTGTGGACACTGACATGTAGACATAGGTTTTCAGGGACAAGGGGAAACCAGTAGACCAAGAGCTAAGTTCTGCGGCTGGGCCATTGCTTTTTGGCAGTTTCCTAGCGGTCAGCACATCCGTCCTGGGGAAATGGGTGCTCCACAGAGCACCCTGGTGGCTGGCTGGCTGACGGGCTGGGCGTCGCTCAGGAACTCCACTGTGTCACTGTTCTCTGGACAGTTAGACCTCGGGGTTTTTCACATAGTCACACAACGTAAAAGAACTTAAAGCACCAGAACCAGTAATGGAGACCAGCCAGGTGAGACTTAACCTTAAGTCCTATTTATTGCTGGTGACACACAGGAGAGGCACCTGTCCAGTATGTTCAGAGGATATGAGTCTCTGGGAAATAAGATAATGTTACTATATGGATTTAAAATACAATACTTGCATGTAATTGCTCTAGTGTGCATTTTTTGAGGCAGTTGTGGAACTGGTCTGTGATTATTGGTGTACTCTTGTAAATTCAAACAGAGGTTGTTGAAGTTTATTTTTTTTTTACCTATTGTTTTCAGAGTGTCTATTTTGAATTAAAATTTGTTATACCACTACAAATAGAATGGTTTAATTCTTTAATCATTAAAATGTCGCTGTGACTTCCAGGAATAATGTCAGCATGGAAATAGGCACCACGTGTATTTTCTAAAAAAAACCGACACATGCCTTGCCGTTGTGAAAATGAGCCAGTATAAGCCAAGAGGGCTGGTCAGTTACTGGGTCCACCGGAGAGATGCGGCTGAACCTTCGTGACGTGCCTGTGTCCTCACTCAGAGGGGTCACCTGCACGGGGGCCAGGCTGCTGTGGGGGGCCCGGTTGGGGGGGCCGGCAGCCAGCTGTGGTCCGCTAGTTCATCCCACCTTGCTGTAGTTGTGTGTACCAGGCTTTCTGTTGGCATTTTGGGCCAGACAACTCGTTGGGGTGACTGTCCTGTGCATTGCAGGACAGCAGCAGCGTCTCGGCCTCTGCCTAGTCCTGACAACCAAAGTTGTCATGTCCCAGTGTCCCTGGGGGGATCAGCCCTGACGGGAATTGCTGTGAGGGAGAAACGCTGACTTGGAATTGTACGTCAGCTGTGGTTCTGCTTGGGGTGCTGAGTCTCACGTTAGGCCAGCCATTGGTTGTCAAACCATTTTTCAGGATCCCAAAGTTAGGCAAAATGTGGTGTAAGCCGAGCTCCCGAAAGCCCCTGTAGGAGTTCCTGCAGACGTGAGGAGACGAGTGTGCAGGGCAGGGCAGACACAGGCCCCCAGTGTGGCTGGGCGGGGCGTGCAGGGGAGGGCGGTCACAACAGTTCTGCCAACTCAAGAGTGTCTCAACTGTGAACCTACTTTTGCCCACCCCGTGTTTATCATTTGACAAAGGAAAACCACTACAGGGTAATAGGTGGTGGGGGTGGGTTATTAAAACTGTCTTAAAAGATGATTAGCAATTGAGAAGGGAAGGAGACTTTTTTTGATGGGTACAAAAATTGTGTAAAGTATGTACGTAGAATCAGTTTTTAAAATATTACATACTTGAAGTCTTCGGTTAAAATATAGCATACTATTTTAGCTTCTGTGAATTCAGTGTCCTTTAACAGTGTTTTTAATAAATAAAAGTCACACCAGTTCCCTTGTTTTCCGTGAATAAGTGAGCGGGCCCAGACAAAAACAGCGCGACTCCCGTGAAGCTGCAGGGCGCTGGCCCTCAGCTGCTCTGTCGCGGGGGCCACGGTGCAGACCTGGGGTGCAGACCTGGGCAGCAGAGGAGGGCGGCACAGGGACGGGCGGGTGCTGGGCTTGCTCGCAGCCCAGGCACCAGAGTCAGCCAGGATGCGGCGGCCTGAGCCTGGAGCTGATGGTGCCGGTGCTGACGGACTGGGCCAGCATCCTGGACTGGGCCAGCATCCTGGGCCGGGAAGCTCCGCTGGGCCGCTCTTCCTCGTCCTCCACCTCCGTCCCTGAGCGTTGAGCGCAGCCAGAGCGGCCGGTCAGCGAAGAAGCCTCCAGGAGACGAGCGTCCGTCTGCCAGCCGAGGACACGGCAGCACAGGCTCTGCCCAGCTGCCGTGGCACCAGGTGGACTGCAGCCACAGCCCGACGTCGGTAGTTTGGGCGCAGAGGGGCTTCGGGTGCTGCCTCCGGGAGCTGCCAGGCCTCGCGGTTGCCAGGAAAGGGCTGCCGCTCGTCCAAGACCTGCCACCGGCCTGTGGCACCAGACACAGGGACCCGGGGTCCCCGTGCTTCTCGCTGTTTATGAAGCTCCGACCGAGGGCTGGACGTGCTGTGCTGCAGTGGACACTCTGGAGACCCTTTCAGAGGCGGCAGCTGGCCGGGCCCCCGGTGGGTGGGTGTCCTCTGAGCTCAGCGTGGCCTTGCTCCCACAAGCAGGTCCCGCCGAGACCCAGGAGGGGCGTCCACCGCGCTCTTTCCCAGTGGCGCCCGTCGTCCCACGATGGACGTGCGCTCCACTGAGCAGAGCATCTTGACCCTGCCCAAGAGAAGGAACAGCTCAGCCCCAAAACCGGAACCTTTTTACCGTAGGTCTTAGGCAGGCCTTCCCAGTAAAGAATAAGCATTTATCAACCATTGCTGGGAAGTAAACCAGACACTAACAGTAGTGATGACGTCACACTCAGGGCTTGCTGGGTTCTCTGCACTGTCGCAAGGGTGGCGTGCGTTTCCCCACAAAGTGGGTGGTCGTGTGCCATTTCGCACACGCAGCCCCCAGGCCCACTTTGCCCCCAGTCTGGGGGCAGTGAGGCGGAGAGAACTGGGCCAACAAAGGGGAGGCCTGGCTTCACTGAGGAGACAGCGCCTCTGCGCCTGTGCTACCCGCTTGCACCTCAGCAGTTCTGTGACGCAGGTGTTACTTTGTCGGCACCGTACAGGTGAGGAAACGGATCCGGAGGTCAGGTGGCTGACTGCACTGGTTTGCTCAGGACTTGGGTTTTTCGGGACTTTCAGTCCCCAGACTGGAAACATCCAGGTGAGCAGGGCCAAGTGGGTACTGACCTTCTCCGAGGTCAGTTTCCTCCCCAGGGTGACGCGTCACTGGATGCTGCAGTGCTATGTCTGAGAGCCTGCTAGCTAGGCTAGCACGCAGCTCTTCGGAGCCACGGGGCGCAGGGAAATGGGGTGCGAGACGCCCTTTCCGACACCAGCATCGACAAGAGCCGCCCACTGCGCCAGGTGCCAGGTGCCATGTGCACACGTCGCGGGGTGCAGTGAAGGGGGACAGGGACGCTTCGGTCGGGTCAGGGTTGGGGTTCGCATGACAACAGAAGGCACATGGTTTTGCTTTTTAGATGCTTGGGGTGTTTCCCCATGTTTCCCCCATGTTACTGACAGCTGAACTTTTTTTTCCCTTAAATCCTCACCAAGGATGAGTTTTCACTGATTTTAGAGGGTGGGCGGGGGAGGGGAGAGAGTGCGTGAGAAACGCCCACCGGTTGCCTCCTGCATGCGCCCCCACGGGGGTGGGGCTTGAACCCTGTTTGGTGAACAGGGGGCTCTCTGACAGAGCCACTTGGCCAGGGCCATGCTGAGCTTTTTATCGACTAAGGAATAAAAAGTCATGTAGGCGTTACTTCCAGAAAACTTATTTTTAGCTTTAAAAACTTGAGCCAAATTTTATTCCCTGTTGCTATAATTTTAGAGCTTTCAAACCAGCTCTCTCCTCGTGGGCGGTCAGAGTGCACACTAAACAGACATTTCTTGCGTCGGAAGCCTCACTTCGTAGCACAGCCGCCAACCGACGCCTCCGGGATTCAGGTTTCCTGTTCCGCAGTGACTAAATTTCTGCTTGGGAGCTTTTCTAGTTTTCAGTAATTTGTGTGACTTAGTCTTTAAAAGTGACTACAAGTTTAAGAGTCATTTTCGCAGTGAAGATGTTGCATAGGGAAACTCCTTACCTTCGGTGACTGGGCCACCGGAGCACACTCCTTGCAGCAGCCGCCGGCAGTGATTTCGGATTCTAACCTCAGGCGTCTCGGGGTCCCGGAGCCGTCGAGTGAGATGTACAGATCGACGGGGGTTCAAGTCTGGATCACACGGTCAGGTTTCCCACAATGCACGGCTGAATTTCCCTGCGCCACCAGCCTCCGAGGCCTGTGATGATGGCACATGGAGACAGCCTAGACAGTGCGAGAGTCGGGGGTCGTCTGTCCAGGAGAGCCGCCCGATGAGCCCGACGAAACCCAAAATCTGCTGTATCTGATGGAGGCCCATGTTACCACCATAAACCCACCGTATTGTCCGTTTGAAAACAAATACTGCTAACACTAGTCATTCACACCAATCACACAAATAGTCTATTTACACACGTTGAGAAAGAAAAAATATATAATACTGCCAAGTAGCAGTTGAGGTCTGTTTTTTACAGCCTTTAGAGGAGGATACTTCCCGCAGTGGCTGGTGTGGCTCTGGGCTGAGCACCAGCCTGCAAACTGGAAGTTCCCTGCTTGGAGTCCTGGTCAGGGCAGGTGCCTGGGCTGCAGGCCGGGTCCCAGTTGGGCGTGTGAGAGAGGCAACAGATCACCGTATCTCCTGCACATCGATGCTTCTCTTCCTGTCTGTCTCCCTCCCTTCTCTCTGAAAAATAAAAATAATATAAAGTCTTAATAAAGAAAGAAAAAGAAAGAGCTTCCCAAACCTCTTTATCCCACTCATGAAATCATGAGCAATATGATTGTTTATTTTTAAACAAAGTACGTAAAGTCGTTTTCAGAAGGGGAGCTTTTCCAATAAAAATATAAAATTTTGTTAATATTTAAATTACAACCCACCAAGCCCCTGCTGCTGTCCTGGACACGAGCTGTGTGCTAGCTAGGGTTGCCCAGGTGCTGGGCGGGACCGGCTGGTGGGGGCGGTGCACACAGGTACGCGTGGAGCTCGTGCGCGACAGGAACCGTGCGCGACAGGGACCGCTCCGACCGCAGCGCGGAAGGCCCCGTGTGGGAGGGCCCTGTGCTCGCCCTGCGGGAGTCAGAGCAAGGGGCCCGGAGGCTGCGCTGAGTTGGCATCTGGGTCCTGGGTGTCTAGGTGGACGACGTGGCCCCCGGGGAGGACATTCGACTGTTAATACAGCGTTTGTATTGTAAGTAAAAAAATTATAAACCGAAATTCAGCAACCATATCGACATGTTTACTGGACATAAACTAAGGTTGTGTGCTTCTGCTTTCCAGCACAAACTCAGAATTAGCAGCCAGAAACGATGATCTGTTTTCAGAAATTAGCTTCTTACAGTTTAAACCCACAATATGGAAATTTTAATACAATGTTAAATACTTTACATAAAGGTAAAGGGTAAAATCGAATAATTAATAGCAGTGAGCAATAAGAAGGCCTAATGGGTTCAACAGCTTTTCTTAAGACGGCTTCTCCTGAGAACACTGGAAGGGGCTTTCACACCGACTCAGTGATACGGTCCGCTCCTTCCAGGAGAGTGTCTCGGGCCCTGAACAGCCGAGGAGCTTCATCCACGATGTGCTGTTTTGTGGAAGACGACTTCTGAAAACAACGGGGAATGCATGAGAATTCATTTTAGAGAAATTACGCATTTTGCAGGGAAGGTA